AACCCGCCACCTTAGGTGTACGTGGCTGGCGCCTTAGCCGGTTGAGCTATAGGCGCTAAGCCTATTACACAGCTTTTTAACCTTTTGTTGCAATGATTCTCAAAGTTGTAAATTATTCAGGTTTCTGAGACACTTGCCCTTAGCTCAGTGGCCTTGGTGTGGCCCCGGAAGCTGCATGCTCACAAGTGCTCCAGGTGCAGTGAAGACTCCACGTGAGTTGGAGATGGGGGAGACCCCCCCCTTTACTCTGCCTTTCCTTTCTCTATTCCAGGTGCTGACAGACTTTTTCTATAAAAGGCAAGCCAGAGAGTAAACATTTTAGTATTTGCAGGACATACACCTATAAGTCTTTTTCTCATCTTTTTCTTTTAACTCTTTAACATGCACAAGTCATCCTCTGCTGCCCAGATCTGCCAACCTCTGCTCTGCCCCACAGCGTCTACTAATTCCTGACTCTGGTTTGCTTAAAGCTCCTCTGGCATCTCTGTCTTTCTCTTCCTCAGCTTCAGCTTTTCCTGCTCACACCTTGAGTCCCTTAGGATAACCCAAACTGATTACCAGTTACTGTCCCTCAGCTAGTCCTCTTTGGAGCTTTTTGATGGAGGCCTCTTCTGGTCACTCAGCAGCAAGGATGTGCTACAGCTGTCCCATCAGGGAGGGGCTATGGGGACATCTGGGCACCAGTTGGCATCAGGAAACAGCTCCAAGGGCTGACCTCGACTCACGCAAAAGGCTCTGGTTTCTTGGTGCTGGGTGGGGACCTGAGGTGCAGAATGCCCAAGCTGGAGGGGCTCTCAGCTTCCAAAGCTGACTCCTCTGCCCAGAGAGACTTGCCCAAGGTCCCCCGCAGTCAGAGGAAGATATGAGGCCAGAGCCCAGGTCTCAGACTCTCAGCGTGATGTTCTCCTGCCAGTCCTTGCCACCTTCTTTCATTCATACACATCTGCATGTCTACTATGCACATCTGCCCGGAGATGGTGTGGAACTGACCTGGGCAGGTCACAGAAGCATCAGAAGCCAGGTCACTCCTGACATCCCCATGCAGAGACTCTGTCCCAGAGTAGGTGACAGGAGATCCTGAAAGCAAGGTGGAACTTGGCCAGACATCAAGCCCACACTCTCACTAACAGGGGAAGGCACTGAGACCAGGTCACCAGACAGGAGTGACTAGCTGAGGCTGTGTTGCAGGGTGGTGCAGTGCGCCGGGCCCTGTGTGGGCCCCTTTGTGTGGTTGTGGTTGCCGTACTGTTCCGATGCAGAGGCTGCTAGCTGACAGCTGTCACCTCTCTTTGACACTTCAGCTGAGGAGAGAGGAGAGCTGTCACCTTCCCAGGCAGCTGGTATTCAAGACTCATCCCAGCTTGTAACAAGGGCGTCCCAGCTTCAGAACTCTTCTCAGGCCGAGGCTCTGTGGGGACTGGTTTGCAGCCCAGTACCTCCCTGTGCCCAGTCCCGCTTCCTTCTCTTCCCAAGAGTCTCTCTAATGAATTTCCTGCATGTCAACCCCTGAGTCACCTCTGTAGTGTCATTTATCCTCACTCTGAGGAGGAGCTGAGGCTCTGAGAGCGTCAGCGAATTGCCCCATGTCACACAGCACCTGAATGGTGGAGGCAGAGTGTAAATCTCACACTCTTTCCACCTTAAAGGCCAGTTCTCTTGACCACCCTGCCCTCTGTTTTAGGGGCAAGTTTGACCCCCAGGACATGGACAAGAACCTGAATGCCATCCAGACAGTGTCAGGGATCCTTCAGGGCCCCTTTGACCTGGGCAATCAGCTGCTGGGACTGAAAGGTGTGATGGAGATGATGGTGGCACTGTGTGGCTCGGAGCGTGAGACGGACCAGCTGGTGGCCGTGGAGGCCCTCATCCACGCCTCCACTAAGCTCAGCCGCGCCACCTTCATCATCACCAATGGCGTGTCCCTGCTCAAGCAGATCTACAAGACCACCAAAAACGAGAAGATCAAGATCCGCACGCTGGTGGTGAGAGGGCGTGGTGCCACCCACCCTCCTGGAACCCGACGCCAGGCCAGGCCCCAGGGACACCAGGAGGAATGAGTCAGGACGTCTGTCCTGGGTGGGGGCGCACCGGGGCCCATGCACAGCCTCTGCAGAACAGGCTGATAGGCGGGGGCTGTGAGGACGTCCATTCAGGGTGCTGGGCTCTGCCGTGGAGCCCAAGGATGCTCAGAAGCCTTCATGCTTATGGACAGCACTAACCCTGATAAGCTTGTGTCTACAAAGTGTTTTCCGAGAAAATCCAAAAAGTCTATTTGTTTCCTTCATTCGCTTCATTTTACCGAAATTCTTTTCTTTTCTTTCTTTTCTTCTTTTTTTTTTTTTTAGACAGAGCCTCAAGCTGTCACCCTCAGTAGAGTGCTGTGGCATCACAGCTCACAGCAACCTCAAACTCCTGGGCTTAAGCAATTCTCTCGCCTCAGCCTCCCAAGTAGCTGGGATTATAGGCACTGGCCACAATGCCTGGCTATTTTTTGGTTGTAGTTGTCATTGTTGTTTGGTGGGCCCGGGCTGGATTCAAACCCACCAGCTCTGGTGTATGTGGCTGGTGCCTTAGCTGCTTGAGCCACAGGCACTGAGCCAGATATTTTTTCTTTTAAACAATTACAGTTGAAAAGGAGTCACTGCTACCTTTTTGTTCACATCAGTTTTTAAAAAACTAACTTTAGCTTCTGCCATTGCGAGTTTGCTCTCATGGAAAACATTTTTTTTCCTCACTGAGAGGAGTCCAATTCCCCTTGGGTAAAATTTTGCACATCGAATCTATTATCCACAAGGTGAGATTAATCTGCCAGTTTTCTGGTGCCATAACAAGGTTTACCATTGATTTTCAGATATCATTAGCGTTGTCTTATGCTGATTTTTTTTTTCTTTTAATTCTTTATTTCTTCTTTTGAGACAGAGTCTCACACTGTTGCCCTGGGTACCTGGGTAGAATGTCTTGGCATCATAGTTCACAGCAACCTCAAACTTTTGGGCTCAAGTGATTCTCTCGCCTCAGCCTCCCAAGTAGCTGGGACTACAGGCTGGCTATTGTTTTAGAGATGCGGTCTTGCTCTTGCTCAGGCTGGTCTCAAAGTCCTGAGATCAAGCAATGAACCTGCCTTGGCCTTCCAGGATGCTAGAAGGTTCCACTGCACCTGGCCTTATTCTGGTTTTTCAGAATGGCCAGACATGAAACATCTATAAGGTCAGTAGTGGGGAAAGGGGCAGGGTAAGACCCTGCTGCCTTGCTAGCATTGACCCTAACCTAGAAGCATCAGGGAAGGTGCTTCTGGGGCCCACCTAAGTATTATAGTCTGTGTAGAGGTATATCCAGACAATGAAAGCGGGAAAAAGTGTCCTGACCACAGGGAACTGTTTGAGCATGGCCTCGTCCCCAAGTTGTGGCGTCTCCCCTTCTCTACAGGGTCTCTGTAAGCTCGGCTCTGCAGGCGGCACAGACTATGGTCTCAGGCAGTTTGCTGAAGGGTCCACAGAGAAGCTGGCCAAACAGTGCCGCAAGTAAGGGGCCTGTACTCCCCCGACCCTCTCTCTCCTCCCAGCTCCCGTGTAGGGGCCTCTGGGGTGTGCACTCATGGACACCAGGTAGTAAAAGGGCCTCCCTTGCTGCCCACTACCCCGAAGTCACTTCACTCTCTTGACCCTGGCACCCTTCCCAGCAGCTCTTCCCCACTTCCAGGTGGCTGTGCAATGCGTCCATAGACACCCGCACCCGGCGCTGGGCAGTGGAGGGCCTGGCCTACCTCACGCTGGACGCCGATGTGAAGGATGACTTTGTCCAGGACATCCCGGCCCTGCAGGCCATGTTTGAGCTGGCCAAGGCAAGTGTGGAGATTGCTCTCTAAGCTGATTCCTCAGGAAAGATCTCCTGGGTCCAGGCCCACAGGGACTGGGCCCCTGTATCCTCATTCTGTCTCTACCCCTTACCCTACTGTAAACCTGGATCGGTCATTTCCCTCTTCCGGACCCTCATCCTCCCTGACTGTGGAATGGACTCACTGCTGCTCGTTATGCATTCCAGGCAGTGGGCAGATGAACAACAGGACAGTATGTTTTTCTGAGCCTTCTGGAAGGGAGGTCTTGAGGGACCAAGAGACAGCATCTAGCCTGTGTGGGCCCCTTTCTTCCCCCTTCTCCCAGACCCCTCCCTTCCTCTGCTGGGTCAACTTCCTGGCTCTTTTCAATCAGCAAAGGGAAGAAGTGTGGGAGGGATTTTCACCAGGGCCAGACCAGAGGGTGTCCAACTTTGACCCCATCTCCAACCCAGTTGGATGGGAAAGTGTCAGACTGGGCTTTTTTTTTTTGTACTTTGAGGATAGTTAATCAAAATTAAAAAAAAATTCAGATTACTATAAGGATACATATGATTAGCATACATTGTTTGGATTGGCAAGGTCAAGTACAAGTTGCAGCTGAGTCCTTCACTCAAGAAGTATGCCGCATACCCCTCCCTTATACCCCTTCAGTGGGAATTTACCAACCCCCTTTTCCCTCCTCTTGAATTGTGTTTTTGATCGATTAGTTTCGACATTGAGGGGGCTTTTGAAAGACGCACAAAACAAGGTGCTTGAGGGGAAGATTCCTTTTTTGTTGTTTGTTTTGAACCAGTGCCTCAGTTGCTCTGGGGTTGAGTGCTGTGGCGTCATAGCTCAAACTCTTGGGCTCAAGTGATTCTCTTGCCTCAGCCTCCCAAGTAGCCAGGACTATGGGTACCCACCACAGTGCCTGGCTATTTTTAGAGATGGGGTCTGCCTCTTGCTCAGGCTGGTCTCGAACTCCTGAGCTCAGGCAATCCACCTGCTGCTGCCTCCCATGGTGCGAGGATTACAGGCTTGAGTCACCTCGCCCAGCCACCGGGAGAAGGTTCCTCCTCTCTGTCGGGGAAACTGTCGAGTGCCCAGGAAATATTTATTGCTGCCTTTATGAGCAGAGCCACCCCTCTCTTTCTGTGCTAGGAGCACTCCTCCCTACCCAACTTGCTGGCCCTTCGAAGGAGCCATCTTAAGTGTCTTTTTTTTTTTTTT